TAATTGTGACACTGACAATGTTGTGAAACACTTTAGGAAAGTCATAAAGGAACGAGAGGTACAGGCCTCTATGGACAGATATGTTGTGCGACAGAGGTCCAGTGACTCTCAAGCTGGTCCTAGTGGCATTAAAAGAAGAAGGGAAGTAACCCCGGAAAAGGACTTGACACCTCAAGTCCTAATGGAAGGGGATTCCCCTTCTAAACACTAACACCATCCACAGTCTCCCCTCCTCCCATCCCATCAATCATCACCAGATCTTCAATAAAGGTAAGTGTCATGTAATTGTACATGTGTTTTTCAGTTTGTATGTATTAAAATTAATATTTCATGTGGTAAAATTTTTTTTTTTCAATACTTTTGGGTGTCTTGCACGGATTAATTTGATTTCCATTATTTCTTATCGGGAAAATTAACTCGACTAACGATAATTTTGATTAATGATGAGCTCTCAGGAACGGATTAATATCGTTGGTCGAGGGTCCACTGTATTTTTGGGTGTCTGAAATGGATTAATTGAATTTACATTGTTTCTTCTGGGAAATATTGCTTCAGTTTTCGTCAAATTCGGTTTTCGACAATTTTTTCATCAAAATTTTGTCCCAGTTTTTGCTCATCACTTCGGTTTTTGTTGAGTTGACAGTGGTCAATTGTACCTAGCATGTCCGCCCGCGCCCACACAAAGCATCCTATGCGTTCTGAGATAGTCTGGCTTTGTTTCTCGTCGGTAGAGGGTGGTAGTGATGGTGGTAGAGGGTGGAAGTGATTGTGATGGTGGTAGAGTGTGGTAGTGATTATGGTAGAGGGTGGTAGTGATTATGGTAGAGGGTAGTAGTGATACTGGTAGTGATTATGGTAGTGATGGTGGTAGTGATGGTATTGGTTGTGGTAGAGGGTGGTAGTGATGGTGGTAGAGGGTGGTAGTGATGGTGGTAGAGGGTGGTAGTGATGGTGGTAGAGGGTGGTAGTGATGGTGGTAGAGGGTGGGTAGTGATGGTGGTAGAGGGTGGTAGTGAGTGAGGTGGTAGAAGGTGGTAGTGATGGTGGTAGAGGGCAGTAGAGAGGGGTTGTTGTGATAGTGGTAGAGAGGCTAAGGGAAATTGACCTGATGACACTGGAGGAAAGGAGAGATTGGGGGGATGTGATAACGACATAAAATGCTAAGAGGAATCGACTAGGTGGACAGATAGGATGTTCTAGAGATGGGACACAGCAACAAGGGGTCATAGTTGGAAGTTGAAGACTCAGATGAATCACAGAGATGTTAGAAAGTATTTCTTCAGTCATGGAGTTGTCAGGAAGTGGAATTGACTGGTAAGTGATGTAGTGGAGGCAGGATCCATACATAGCTTAAAGAAGAGGCATGATAAAGCTCATGGAACAGGAAGAATGAGATAGTAGTGGTCAGTGAAGAGGTGAGGCCAGGAGCTGTGACTCGACCCCTGCAACCACAACTAGATGAATATGTGAAAACAAAGAAAATTATCCATGAATTAAAAAGGGGTATGTGTGTGATGGTGTAATGATACCAACACTCTTATGAGTGTGAAGTATGGGTGGTGAATGTTGCAACAAGGGGAATACTGGAGGCAGTGGAGATGTCACATCTGAGGGCAATGTGTGGAGTGAATATAATGCAGAAAATTTGTAGCATGGATATTAAAAGGATATTAAGAGGGCTGAGGAGGGGTTGTTGAGGTGGTTCAGACATATAGAGAGGATGGAACAAAACAGAATATCTTGGAGAGTGTATCAGTCTGTAGTGGAGGGAAGGCGGAGTAGGGGTTGTCCTAAGAAAAGTTGGAAGGAGGGGTAAAGGAGGTTTTGTGTACGAGGGACTTAGACCCAGCAAGCGTGTTTGAGCATGTTAGATAGGATGTGCTGTTGGAATGTGAGCAAGGTAACATATATGAAGGGATTCAGGGAAACCGGTTAGCTGGATTTGAGTCCTGGAGGTGGGAAGTACAGTGGACCCCCGCATAGCGACCTTAATCCGTGCAAGAGGGCTGGTTGTTGTGCGAAATGTTCGGTATGCGAATGAATTTTCCCCATAAGAAATAATGGAAATCAAATTAATCCGTGCAAGACACCCAAAAGTATGAAAAAAAAAAATTTACCACATGAAATATACATTTTCCTACACACAAAGAGAAGGATACATGCACAATAGTAGAGTAGTACATGCACAATATATATTGTGCATGTATTAGTCTACTAAATGAAGAATAAATGACACTTACCTTTATTGAAGATGCAGCAATGACTGATGAGACACTGTGTCCTGGGAGTGCCTTTTCCTCCTGAGTACTGTAGGTCCTGTTTGGCATTTTCTTCCAGAACATGCCTTATCACACTGTGTATGCCACTACGATTCTTAAATCTCTCAAACCAACCTTTGCTGGCTTTAAATTCACCAATATGAGCACTAGTTCCAGGCATTTTTCCCTGTTCACCTGGGTGTTAGTCGACTGGTGTGGGTTGCATCCTGGGAGACAAGATTAAGGACCCCAATGGAAATAAGTTAGACAGTCTTTGATGACATTGACTTTTTTGGGTTATCCTGGGTGGCAAATCCTCTGGGGTTAATTGTTTCTTGGTATTCTCAATAAGCCACACCAACAACGGTGCTACAGCAGCAGCAGCAGCTGACGGTGGTACAGCAGCAACAGACGATGCTACAGCAGCAACAGACGATGCTACAGCAGCAGCAGACGATGCTACAGCAGCAGCAGACGATGTTACAGCAGCAACAGACGATGCTACAGTAGCAACAGACGATGCTACAGCAGCAGCAGACGATGCTACAGCAGCAGCAGACGATGTTACAGCAGCAACAGACGATGCTACAGCAGCAGCAGACGGTACTACAGTAGCAGCAGACGATGCTACAGCAGCAGCAGAGGATGCTACAGCAGCAGCAGACGGTACTACCGCAGCAGCAGCAGCTGACGGTGGTACAGCAGCAGCAGCTGACAGTGCAGCAGCAGCTGACAGTGCAGCAGCAGCTGACAGTGCAGTAGCAGCTGACAGTGCAGCAGCAGCTGTACCACCAATAGTAGCGATGGTTGATTGGGGTTTATTATACAACCTGGCCAGCTCGGAGACACTCACTCCACTTTCATACTTATCAATGATCTTTTTCTTCATCTCCATAGTAATTCTCACCCTTATTGCTGTAGGGTTGGCACTAGAAGCCTTCTTGGGGCCCATGGTCACTTATTTTCCAGAAAAAATCACCAAAAACACTGTAATAATACGAAATGTTCCGATTGTATGCTTGGATGTTACCGCGGAGGCTGGCTGGTAAACAATGCCACCGGCGGAACATGTGAGCGTGGCTCAGGCCGCACATTGGACGCGTCTCGGACGAAGGGCGGTGAGCGGGTTTTCAGGCGGTATGCGAGGCAAAATTTTTGCGATCAAAGCGTCCGGTATGCGGATTGTACGGTATGCGATGCGTCCGGTATGCGGGGGTCCACTGTACAGTGCGTGTACTCTGAAGGAGGGGTGAGGATATTTAGAGTTATGAACTGTAGTATTAGTGCCCCTCTGGCAAGACAGTGATGGCGTGAGTGAGGGGGTAAGCGTTTTTTCTTTTATGGGTCACCCTGCCTTGGTGGGAAATGGCCAGTGTGTTAGAAAAAATTATTTATTTTTTTATTATCACACTGGCCGATTCCCACCAAGGCAGGGTGGCCCGAAAAAGAAAAACTTTCACCATCATTCACTCCATCACTGTCTTGCCAGAAGGGTGCTTTACACTACAGTTTTTAAACTGCAACATTAACAGTGAAACCTCGGTTTTCCTCGATTAATCATTTCGAAAAAGTCTGACGAAAACCGAATCGTACGAGAACTGAAGCATTATTTCCCATAAGAAATAATGTAAGTCCAATTAATCTGTTCCAGACACCCAAAAATATTAACAAGAAATACATTTTATAGAAAATAACTATAGTTTTACATACAGAAAGCAATGAGAAATAAATATAAATGATTAATGAAATGGATTAATGAACATTTAATGTCACTTTTACCTTTATTGAAGATTCTTGTTGGCGTATGGAAGACAGCGAGGAGGGGAGAGGGAGGAGGAGAGGTTATTGTTTGGAAGGGGAAGCCCCGTCCATTAGGAATTCAGGTATCAAGGCACTATCTGGGGTTACTTCCCTTCTTTGCCTTTTACTGGCACTAGGACCAGCTTGAGAGTCACTGGACCCCTGTCACACAAAAAATCTGTCCAGTGAGGTCTGTTTCTGGCATTTATTTAAGATTTGCCTAAAATGGGACAAGGCATTGTCATTGAACATATTGTAAACATGGCTTGCAACAGTTTTGTTAGGGTGATATTTTCTGCAAAACTTTGCAACTCATTCCACTTTGCACACATGTCCTTAATCACTGAAGAAGGCACATTCTCCCCTTTCTCTTCCTCCTCCTCCTCTGAAGCTATTTCCTCAACTGCAGTCTATTGCTATTCCAGTTGAAGGTCTTGCAGCTCTTCAGTGGTTAGGTCTTTGCTGTGGTTGTCCACCAACTCTTCCACATCCTGGCCACTCACATCCAACCCCATGGACTCCCCCAGTAACACAATAGATTCCACAACAGGTGTAGGGGTGTCAGGGTCAGCCTTAAACCCTTCAAAATCACGAATGCATGGGGTGCTTTGTATGGGCACTCGATTCTGGGAAATGAGTGGCTGAGTCACGCAGGCAGGCAGATGAGTTTGGTATGGACCATTTTCAACTGTACAAAAACCGAGGGGATGTACGAAAACTGGGACGAAATTTTGACAAAAAAAAGTCGTCGAAAACCGAATCGTATGAAAACTAGGGCATATGAAAACCGAGGTTCCATTGTATTTTTTTATTTTCCACTATGTATAGAGTGGAATAACCCTTAGGTGTTTAGTGCTTTCCATGAATGTAATAATAAATGAACATCTTTATAATGATTTTTTCCATCCATATTTCTAACTTATTTTTTAATATTCATTGCAGATGAATTGTGATTGGAAATGCAAACATCAGAAGTGTGATAAACTTTGTGGTGACAAGTGTTCAAGAAAGCCATGTGATAAACCTTGTCCCAAGAAGTTGAAGTGTGGTCATCCATGTGTTGGCTTCTGTGGTGATCCTTGTCCTCCACTGTGTCGCATCTGTAATGTTGATGAACTTACAGAGTTTGTGTTGTTGGGCTTTGAAGATGATGATGATGCAAGGTAAGAAAGTAGCAACTTTGGAACTTGTATTAATTTTCCTTTCAAGATTTTTGAGTGATGACTTAATACTATTTTTTATCTACTTTATCCCTTTCATTGTACTACGGGTTTGAGGTCACTGTCAGTGCCATAGTACTGTGCCATGAGCTCAGCTCACTCAGATAAGCTGTCAGCAGTAAATTTAGGCCTCGATATGAGGGCAAATTTCTAGGTCTTCTCCTTGACTGTAACCTTAAGTTTCAGTCCTACACCCATCACATAACCAAGAAAATTTCCAAATCAGTAGGAATCCTTTTCAAGATACAATACTGTGTACCACAAATGACACTCCTTACCCTATACCATTCTCGAACATATCCTTACCTCACCTATGGTATTTGTGCCTGGGGCTCAACCACAGCCAACCATTTTAGACCCTTAATAACTCAACAAAAAGCTGCTGTGCAGGTGATAACCAGCTCCTGTGCTAGACAGCACACCCCACCACTTTTCAGAAGACTGAACTTGCTAAATATACAAGACATGCACTCATATTATTGTGCCTACTACATATACAGAATATTAAACTCCACTGTAAACCTTCCACTAAAGCTACTCCTTGACAGTTACAACAGAATGCACAGTCACAATACAAGGCAAAAAGCACTTCTCAACATCAGTTTCTCACTATGCAAGAATGCTATGCACATAAAGGGCCACAGATCTGGAACTCGCTACCGGAACAGGTCAAGGATCCCCTGACAACTTATAAATTTAGGACTTTGCTAAAAAATCATCTTATCTCTCAATATTAACCAAATCAATCAAAACATTTACTAATTAGTTTTATTATGTGACATCTAGGCTTTTAATTCTGCCAGTTCATGAAATATTTCCACTTGAACCATTACTTGTAATATAGATTTTGTGTGCAATTTCAAGATTATTTTACAGAACCATACTCCACCTTACTACCTCACATTATGTATTAAGTTACTCACTGTACAGAACATCCACACTTATTACTGTGCAAACTACATTTACAATACCATAAATTCCAATATTAACCCTGAACTAAAAGGCTTTCTTGATAGTTGTGACAGTACCCATAGGCACAATACCAGACACAAAAATCTCGATGACATTCCCTGTGTCCAGCTAAATGTATACAGTGGACCCTTGGGTAATGGCATTAATCCGTACCAGAGAGCTTGCCTTTAACCTATTTTGGCATTAGCCGAATTAATTTTCCCCATAAGAAATAATGTAAATCCAATTAATCTGTTTCAGATGCCCGAAAGTATTACAAAAAAAAAAAAAATTTTTTAAAGATTAAATATAGATATACACACAGAAAACAATGACAAATAAATATAAAGCACTAATAAAATGGATAAATGAACATTTAGCATCACGCTTACCTTTATTGACTCTTGATGGTGTATGAAAGACAATATGACGCTAATATCATGTCTACAGCTTATACGTAGGTGGTAAGTTGCTAAATGCTGTCCTTGGCCCTCTTCTCTTTCTCCTATACATAAATGACCTACCAAATGCTTCACAATTACTCAAACCCACACTTTTTGCAGATGACACTACATACGTCTTCTCTCACCCGAGCCCAGTCACGCTAGCCAATACTGTAAACACCGAATTACAGAAAATATCTACCTGGATGAGGACTAACAAACTTACACTAAACATTGACAAAACCTACTTCATTCAGTTTGGTAACAGAGCTACAGATGTACCTCTTAACATAACGATAAACGGATCACCTATCACAAAGCTAACAGAGGGAAAATTCTTAGGAATCCACCTCGATAATAGACTCAAATTTCATACACATGTACAACAAATTTCTAAGAAAATTTCCAAGACTGTAGGCATACTATCGAAGATACGGTACTATGTTCCACAGTCAGCCCTCCTGGCCCTTTATCACTCTCTTATTTACCCCTATCTCACCTATGGAATTTGTGCATGGGGCTCAACAACAATTAACCATCTCAGACCACTAATTACCTAACAAAAGGCTGCAGTTAGAATGATAACAAATTCTCACTACAGGCAACACACTCCACCAATATTCAAAACACTCAACCTACTCACCATACAAAAACATCCATACTTATTATTGCACCTATTACATACATAGAACACTTAACTCTGATATTAACCCTCCCCTCAAACATCTCCTTGCCAACCTCAACAGAACACATGACCATAACACAAGGCACAGATCACTCTTTGATGTTCCTCGTGTCCATCTCACGCTATGCAAAAACTCAATGCACATAAAAGGCCCTAAAATCTGGAATTCATTACCTGTAAATATAAAAGAAACACTACCTGTTTACAAATTCAAGTCTCTTCTCAAAGTTCACTTACTCACTCAAAACCAAATAAATACTGAATAACTGAACCTTATAAATTGTATATCCAAAATGTTACTCACAATTATATCACATAAATGTTAAACCTAGGACCCAATCTAACTTTGTTATTTTTTTAAATACACTACCTAACAGAATACTCCATTCTACTGAATGAACAGCAATGCATGCAACCATATGAGCTGTCTTTGTAATACTCATTTGTGCTTTATAGTTATCTGTTTACAATGATGTCTTATCACTGATTTCATCATTGCATAGTTAATCTTAAGTTAATTTTAAGCCAGCCCGTAATGCTATGCATATAAGTGGCTTTGGCATGCTGCTCTTACCTGTATTTTTTTTTTGTACCTCTGTATGTATGCTTAAATTTCTAAATAAATAAATAAATGATGATAAATTAGACACATGTGCAACTCTTGGGTATCTTTATTGAGGAAAGTTTTGCCAACAGGGTTCTCAGCCCAAAAAAGAAGAATCTTGAAGAAATCGGTTTCTAAACCTTTCATACAAATAAAAAATAAATAAGATTTTTTTTATGAGGATATTGAGCTCGGGTTAGGGTGTTAGAAGAGAGGAGACTACTTCCGGTAAAAGTAGGTCTTAGACAGGGAGTGAAATGTCCCCAGGTTTTTTTAATTTTAAATTTATAGATGGGTTGTAAAAAAGAAAATCTGGGGTGTTGGGGGAGAGGGTGGGATTAAATTATGGGGAATTAAATACAAAATGGGAAGTGACACAGTTATTTTTTGCTGATGATACTGTCAAGGGGAGATTCAAGAAAAATTGCAAATTGTGAACAAATTTTGGGGGAGTGTGTGAAAAGGTAAAGTTGAAAGTGAACATAGAAAAGAGTAAGGTGATGAGAGTATCAAAGTTTTAGTAAGAAAAATTAGATATCAAATTGGGGGGGAAGAGTATGGGAGAAGTAAATGTTTCAGTAGTTGGGAGTTGACATTAGCGGATGGATTTATGAAGGTGGGTTAATTGAAATTGATGAAAAAAAAAAGGGAGGGGTGCTTAGGTTTGTGGAGGCAAAAAATGTTTATCTATGGAGGCAAAGAAGGGGAATGTTAAAAGTATAGAAGTACCAACACTTTTATATGGGTGTGAAGCGGGGGTTGAAAATGCTGTAGCAAGGAGGGGGTTTGGGCATGGAGTGTCCTGTCTAAGGGCAATGTGTGGAAAATATTATGAAGAAAATTCGGAGTGTGGAAATTTGAAAAGGGTGTGGAGTTAATAAAGTATTAGTCAGAGGTGAAGAGGGTTGTTAGGGGGTTTTGGTCTTTAGAGGAATGGATCAAAGTAAATGACAGGGGGGAGCATTTAACCCCTTGCTTTTTTTCGACGTTAAAATCGTCTTCGAGCCAATGTTTTGACGTAAATATTCAATAATTCTAGGGCTTAAAATCAAGTGGGGAAAGCTGGTAGGCCCACATGTAGAGAATGGGTTGGGGGGTCAGTGTGCACCCATAAAAAAAATCCGCAGCACACATTGCGTAATGAGAAAAAAAAAATTTGATCGTTTTTTTGGAATAAAAGCCGACTTTGAGGGTTTTTTCTTTATAGTATTTATGTTGTTTCGGGGTTTTCATGGTCTTGGGTGATAAAATGGAAAACTATTACGAAATAGAGATGTTTTCATTATTTTTTTCGATGAAAACGACCTTGAAACTGACCCAAAAGTAGCGGAAAGTTCGTTTTTACCAATGTTAAAGAGAAAAATAAATCACCCCCACACCCCAATACCGTCAACTGGGGTCTAAAAATTCTTTCACTAGTGCACTGATATTATTTATACCTTTTTTCAAAAATGCAGTCGTCTGCATTAACAGTAAATTTTGTATTTTTTTGTATGAATAAAAAAAAAAAATAGAAAGAATAATAATATAAGAGGGGGGTTAGATGTGACTAATGAACAGGCATTGTTATTTTAGTGCCACGAATGTCTACCTTGTTTATTTTGGACCCCATTTTTAAATTGGATCTTTTTTTTTTTGCGTGAAATGGCCAAATTGGCCCAATTTTTGACCACCTATTTGGGTTCCCCAAAATTTGTAAATGGGAGGGTTTTTTGTACTCAGCTGATAGATAAAATGGGGTTTAAAAAATAGCTATGAGTTTGGTCAAATGGAACAAGGAATTGGCTGAAAATTTGGGTCAAAATCGGCGAAAAACGCCGTAGCATTGTCCCGAGACCGCTAATTCGCGGGGGGCTAATTCCACGAGTTTTTTGACCAAATTTCGAATTTTGGTGTATTACCACGGGAAAGTTCTCTATCTTTCATAAGAAAAAAAAAATTTTTTTTTTTTTTTCAAAAATTGAGCGACATAGAAGACAGTTTTTCAGGAGGGGCTTTTAAAACAGTCAAAAGGGGTTAAAACTGTAGGGAAGGAAGGTGGGATAGGGGTCGTCCCCAAAAAAGGTTGGGGGGAGGGGGTAAAGGGGGGTTGTGGGGGAGGGGGTTTGGGCTTCCGCAAAGGGGCGGGAGCTGTTAGATGGGGAAGGAGACAAATGGGATGTGGGCCCGATGAGCTGTGAGCAGGGTAATATTTAGTGAAGGGATTTAGGAAAACCGGTATTTTATATAACCGGATTTGAGTCCCCGGAAATGGGAAGAA